GAATCCCAGTGGCACCACTACTCAGGTAGGACCAACCTTTTCTTCTTGCTGCCTTCTTCCCTGTACTTGCTCAGATGAATGACAGTGGAGAATTGGTACCTTTCAAAAAAACATGGGAACACGCAGACGCACCTGGGAACAGGCCTGAGGCGTTATGTAGAGATGCCCTGGAGGAGCTTATGGCCTGTGACAAACAGGAAGTGTCTGCTTGATGTGAAAGGGTCTCTGCAAGGGCCTTGCCCAGCATGCCCAGGAGCCCCAGGGAAGGCTTCAGCACCTAGTCTGCCAGAGTCAGTTACCTGGTGAAACCAAAGATGAAGTTCTGTGGATTATCCAGAGAAGACGGATCCCACCTAGAACCCAGAGAAGGGGCAGGACCAGTAGGAAGAAGATCAGAGGAGAGTGGAGTCCCAGAGACCAGGGGAGAGAGTAGTCAGCAGTCCCAACTGCTACAGAGGACCCTAGGGTTGCGATGTCAAGGATTGGTATGTATCGTGTTAGCCAGAGTACAGAATCAAAGACTGTGGTTAATGAGGAAGTCAAAACAACACCCAGATGCTTTGCCAAAAAGCTCAGCTAAGAGTCTGGGAGGAGGAGGTGGGCCAACAGCTTATAGGGGTTTGGTGTGAGGGCTGAGACAGCAAAGCCATGGATGAAGGCAAAGGAGGTGAGAGAGGAGGCATGGTGGTCAGGAAGAATAGGAGACCCTGAGATGGGAGAAAGGTGAGGTTAGGTGTATCCGCAGAGACCAGAGACATTAGTATACAGAATGAGGACACTTGGAATCATTTGGCTGATAATCTCAGTGAAGCCAGAGGAGAAGTACTCCGTAAGTCAGGGAGGGCAGATAGAGCTGTGGGAACCATGAAAGTAGTAATTAGCAGCCCGGGGTGTGGAATTTCTAGTGGCCCCAGTCCTGTTCTGATATGTGGATTTTGTCATTGTTCAGAACACAGCTGCTGAGCATGGAAGTGGAGTGAGGTAGAGTGAAACTGCTTAACTGAAAGACTGCGTATGGGGTCAGAGAGGGCACGAGGATATGGCAGTGACCATGACGAGACAGTCCCGACTGCCCTTAGGAGCATATCACATTTTGGTAGAGGAAGCAGACGTGTACATTATTAGTGCACTGCAGCTTAGAATGAGCACTGAGAAAGAAGGCAATGAGAGAGTTGTTTTCAAAGAACAGAGTGGAGTGAGGACGGGAGAGGGCTAAGAAATGGTAGAGTTGTCAGAGGGGGACCCAGGGGCACTGAGGCCTAGAGATGATGTGAGTCACACAACAACAAGATTTAGAGTCTTGTATGGGGCTGTGAGGTCATCATGTTGGCCCAGAGAAGTGATATGGAGAAAAGAGCAACCATGTGGGTTCTGCCTCTCTTGGGTGTGCTCACTCAAACTCGTTACCCCCACTCCAACCAAATACCTGGTCAGTCCTCATTCCGCATCTGGCTTCAACCAGGAACCTTCAGTGTGCTGATCCCCTTCCCTCCCCTCCTCTCCTGTTGTGCCTCATCATTGCCCCAGCCTGTCAACTTTGGCATGTCCAGGGTGCTCTCATCTAATTTCATGGTCCTAAATCCCATTTCTAATTCTGATAGTCCCCAAGTTGCTAGTCACTCCTTGTACCTACTTGCCATCTCTACCAGCAAGTTGCCAGGAAAGTTTTTCTAAGAGAAATGTCAGACTCAACATATTCCAAACTGAGTTCTCAACCTTTACCCAAAATTTGTTTCTCTTCCAGCCTATCACTGTCCTTCCAGTTACTCAGGCTCCAAACCTCAGTTTTCCTTGACACCCTCCTCCCCCCAACACACACAAACACACACACACACACACCTCTTTCTCTTACATCTACATCTCCTGCGTCAGTAAGTCCTGTCTGCACTACCTTTAAAATCTTTAGCCCATGAGAAATCCATTAAATAACTCATAATATACATGTATTTGATTCTGAATGGTCCGGTAAAATAATGTGAAATATTTATATCAATATACTGTATATAAAAATATATTTGTGCAAAATATACTTCTCCAGTATTTTTAATTTTATGTGAGACAAAAGAATGAGGGGTGGGTGTTTATGATAGATTGGGTTTGAGTAAGCCACAGTATAAACTGCAGAGCCAAAACACTCCACAAGCTTCCGTGGAACTGCTCCTGTAGCCAACAAGTCCTGCAGAAAAGGAACCGCAGACCCTTTAGAAAAAACGTTTGGTCTGTAGGGTTCACCAGGCATTTAAATCCAGAGTCTGTGCTTGTGCCCAGGGAGTGAGGGAGGGCAGTGGGAAGGTTTTGACTCCAGAAGAGGTGATCCTTACTTACTCTCTGTTTGGGACCAGGTGAGGCTTCAAGCTCTGAGGAAGAGCCTCCATTTCCAGAGGATAAAGAAAACCAGGCCCCGAAAAGGACTGGTCCACATCTGCGCTTTGAGATCAGCAGTGAGGATGGGTTCAGCGTGGAGGCAGAGAGCTTGGAGGGTGAGTTAGAATGAATGGTGACAGGGAGGGAGAATGTGCCATAGAATACCATCCTGACTCTGCTGTGGCCCTGCCCTCTCAGGGGCGTGGAGAACTCTGATTGAGAAGGTGCAAGAGGCCCGAGGGCATGCCCGGCTAAGACATCTCTCCTTTAGTGGTAAGTGGGGACCCACAGGGACGCTGAGGGCTGGGATCACGTCCTGAGAGCAAGATGGGTCACTGACATGACTTGTGCATCCTCACCTTTGACTTCCCTCAGGAATGAGTGGAGCAAGGCTCCTTGGTATCCATCATGATGCTGTCATCTTCCTGGCAGAGCAGCTGCCTGGGGCCCAGCACTGCCAGCACTATAAGTTCCGCTACCACCAGCAGGGAGAAGGCCAGGAGGAGCCACCCCTGAATCCCCATGGGGCAGCCCGTGCCGAGGTCTATCTCCGGTGAGAGGTCTGGGGTGTGATGTGTGGGTTGGGGGAACCCTATGGGCAGTCTTGAGGGTGGGAATTAAGTCTGTTCAGATTGGAAACAGGCCTGGCAGAAGGCACTAGGCTATTCGAGGAATTATTTCTAGGGGTCGTATCAGAATGAACCTCATTCATTCCCCTTTTGCTTTGTCTTCAATAATAGTTGTATTACTCTTACTCTGCCAGCAGCGGTACAGGCCAGGAATTGGAGGGTAGCATCTAGAAGGAATGACTCTGTACCTCCCTCCATTTTTCTCTTCTACCTACAGGAAATGCACCTTTGACATGTTCAACTTCCTGGCCTCCCAGCACAGAGTGCTCCCTGAGGGAGCCACTTGTGATGAGGAAGAGGATGAGGTACAGCTCAGGTCAACCAGGTATGGAGGGCAGTCTAGAGTGCTTGGGTGGTCTGGAAGGGTCTTACAGAGGGTGACCAGGGACAAAACATATCATTTCTGGGTGATACTATTGTCCCCCACTAGACGTGCCACCAGCCTGGAGCTGCCCATGGCCATGCGCTTTCGCCACCTCAAAAAGACATCCAAAGAGGCTGTAGGTGTCTACAGGTTAGTGGGGTTGGGGGGAGGATGCCCCTTGGGTGGATGACAGGTGCCCTGGTGTGGGGCTGCCCTGATTTTATCCCCCTGCCCCCTGAGCTCCCCTTGCCCATCCTACCCTGCAGATCTGCCATCCATGGGCGGGGCCTGTTCTGTAAGCGCAACATCGATGCTGGCGAGATGGTCATTGAGTACTCTGGTATTGTCATTCGCTCTGTGCTGACTGACAAGCGGGAGAAGTTCTACGATGGGAAGGTGGGCTCTGCCAGGTCATGGGAATGAGGTGGGAGAAGCAGGGTCTTCCATGGGAACAGAGCATCTAACTGCCCCTACCTTGTCCCTGTAGGGTATTGGGTGCTACATGTTCCGCATGGATGACTTTGACGTGGTGGATGCCACAATGCATGGCAATGCCGCCCGCTTCATCAACCACTCCTGTGAGCCCAACTGCTTCTCTCGAGTCATCCACGTGGAGGGCCAGAAGCACATTGTCATCTTTGCCCTGCGCCGCATCCTGCGTGGTGAGGAACTCACCTATGACTACAAGTTCCCCATTGAGGATGCCAGCAACAAGCTGCCCTGCAACTGTGGCGCCAAGCGTTGCCGTCGGTTCCTTAATTGAAGCTGTGGTTGCCCACACCTCCCGCTGCCATCTTCCCCCTGGTCTGGGGGCTCCCTAGTCCCCCCAGAGCATCTCATCCCCACCCTCATGTCCAAGGTGAATGTGGGCATGCAGGTGGCAAGGGCCCTGCCCCTACCCCTCCAGCCCACTCAGCAGTTGCCCCCTTCTTGCCCTGGGGGCCCAGAATGTAGATATTGTACAAAGGTTTCTAAATCCCTTCTTTTCTATGCACTTTTTTATTTAAGAGGTGAGATCCCAGGTGGGAACCTCCCCAATAAAGTCTGTCAATGTTTGGAGAGGTGGTCTTAGTTTGTATAGTGCTGGAGGCATGTAGAAGCTCCAGTTTCTCTGTGCCCCACACCTATTCTGAACCAAGGAAGCCCATCAGTATCAACAGGCAATGGTTCAGAATTAGTACCGTGTTTCCCTGAAAATAAGACATCCGCCGAAAATAAGACCTAGCGCCTGGAAAAATAAGACATCCCCTGAAAATAAGACAACACATCTTTGGGAGCAAAAATTAATATAAGACACTGTCTTATTTTTGGGGAAACAGGGTAGTAAATTGGGTCTGTCAGGGCTTCAGAGCAACAAATGTCTTACATATTTTAAGTCAGAACCCAGCTGGATGCCTGTGGATCTTTCTTGGGTAGCAGTTCTCCTCAAGAGGGGACCCTGGTTGCCCAAAAGCACCGAGACCAGCTCTCCCACATCTGGTCTTGTGATAGGATGGACCCTTTTCTGGGTGGGGGATGAGAATGTCTGCTGGGTCTTGGTCCAATTAAGACTATTTCAAGAGGACTCCTAATGAGTCCAGGAGACAGAAGGCACTTAATTTCAAGGGAAACTTTATTGAGTACTAGGCTGGGCAAGCCCCAGATCAGGCAAGTTTGGACAGCACCTGCAGAGCATCTGCCCGCCCTAGCTGGGCCAGATATGTGCCAAGCTGGTCCAGAGAAGCGGAGGGCTCCCTTGCCACCACCATCTCAATCAGGGCACGCAGAGGCGAGTGACTAGGTCGCAGTGAGTAGGCAAAGGTGGACCAGGAAGCAGGCAGTCCATATTTTGCAGCCAGGTGTCGAGTGGTACCACAGGCCAAAGCCCCACCAGGCCCAGGCTCAGGATCCAGCAGCACAATCAGCTCCTCCAGCACCTCCAACTCATCCAGAAGGCGAGATAGGGGCTGTGATGCCAGATTTGGCAGCTCTGGGAAACAAAGGGAGGGATAAGGCGGGGGAAGGTTGGGCTTGCAGCCTGTATTCCCCTCGACATGTCTGGGACTAACCCCCGCACCAGGAGTGGGAGCACAGAAACCCATGATCACCTGCCTCCGATGCCACCAGGGAGCCTTGAGAGGTGTTGGAGCCAGGACAGGGGTAATAGGGACTGTGCCTTTGCAGGGTAAACAGGAAGATGGCTGCTGAGGTCACAAGCAGAACCAGCACCAGGGGCAGGGCAAAAGTCAGCAGGGCCTGCCGAGGGACGGTGTATTCAGATGTTCGAGAGGGTCTGGAAATGGCTGGTGAGCTGGTTTCCTGGGAGCTTGGGATGCTGGGTGTTTCAAACTTCAGAAGACAGGGCTCCTTGGGAGGGGCACGCTTCTGAGAATAGGAGTAGAGCTGGAGGTAAACCCCGCTCCTGTCCCCTCAGCCCAAATCTTTCATCCTTGTAAGCCACATCCCCACCTGATCCAGACCCCCTGTACTTTAAATATAGCTGGTCACCCCCAGATACAATGTCCTCACCCCTGTCCTCTTCAGTGGGGCTAGGTACACCACCACCTTTGATCCAGACCCCACCCACCCAATCCCAAACCACACCCTCTACATCCCACCCCACTTCTGGCAGGCTGCATCTTTGCCCATGCAGTCTGAGCCAGACCAGCACCTCTTCACAGCGCTGCCGGCTTCTCTCGGGAGTGGAGGTCCTGGTTCTGCTGCCACAGAAGCCACATAGCTCTGCGAAGTCCAGATTGCACTGCCCAGAAGGACACTTTTTGAAGGGATACATTACGTGATCACCAAAGTCATTGAGCCCGCAGTTTTCTGAAAACTCATAGTCTAGTGGGAGACAGGATCTCGTAAGTGGCTTCCAAGACCCACCTCTAAAAGATCCTTTCCTTTTTGTCCTATCCTAGCAGGCCTCGTCCGTTGGACTTTATCCACCCATCAGCAGGCATGCTCACCCCTTCCATTCTCCCTACCCCAAACTAGCCCTGCTAGTCTCAAAAGGCTCCTTACCCTTCATGCCCCTCCTGCTTCCACATCAAGCTCTGCCTATGCTGGGATTGATCTGTAGAGCTCACCCTTCTCACTGCCTGGATCCTGCTTCTAACCTTTCTCACAGGCTTAACTCCCATAACTGCCTTATCTGATTAAGGCGCACTGCCCCTACCTAGAAGCAAGCCCCCAAACCTTGTTCCTTCACAGGATTTCCATCACCCCCTCAGTCAGCCTGACATATTTGCATAGGTGTATGTAGGTATACGCCGTCTCTGCTCCTCACCAGGACATGGGGGAGGCCCAAAGCGCTGTAGGCAGCTGCCACAGCACTGGTTGTCAGGGTTCCAGTACTCAAGGCGGCTACAGTGTTGAGAGGCTTCATGCGGCACTGCCTGGGCCAGGAACAGCGCAGCAGACAAGAAGAGGTGCTGGGGCCTCATCCCAGCGGCGCGTGCAGAGTGCAGGACTTCCGGCCACAGCGCCTTTGCCAATTTCCCAGGAAACCATGGAGAAGGAAACAGTGGATGTGGAGGCATAGAATGAGAATCTACATACATCCAGCTCCCAGGCCTCAGTCCAGCTCCTGACCCATTATCAGAAGCCACAAGGCCTCAGGATTGCTAGAGCAAGGGCTCTGAAGCCAGACCTTGTGGATTCATATCCCATATCTGCCATGTTCCATCTGTCTCATAGGAGTATTGTGGAGAATTAAAACTTACTAGAGTCAACTATAATTGAAAAATAACAAGTGATTTTTAAAAAAGAAACAACACCCTTCTTAGAAGTAAAGCTCTTAGGGTAGCACCTGGTAGATGGTAAACTTAAATATTAGGCATTACTGACTCCCATTTCAGGGAATCAAGAATGGAGGAACCAGCCCTCATCTACTGAAGACTCCCACTCAATTCCAAGTGACCTTACCTTAGATCCCAACCCCAATCTCCTCTGAGTTGGGAATCCTCCAATCTGCCACAACTAGGCGTCTTCCCTTTGAAAAGCCTCAGATGGATGTGGTGGTTTCCAGCTCAAAGGCACTCCACCAGTCCCACTTGGGGGTTTCTAGGGTGTTGAGCTCTGAGTCCAATTTCCACTTGTTTGAAGTTCTTCAGCTGCAGTTGTGGCTAGAGCCCAACCTACTTCCCCTTTTCATCGGATGTGGGGGTGGAAGGAAACTCCAGCCCACAGCTAGACTTGACTCAAGCTCAAAATACAGAACTTTATTCAGGGAGGAGTGGCAGACCCTAGAGGCTGGGAAAGATGGCTCTGGGGAGTTAAGGGAGCTTTGAGGGGTCCTGGCCAGGAGCATCTCTACCTGTTAGAGGTGAAAGGCAAGAGGGTCAGGATCTCAGAAGTGGCCCTGCTGGTGGTCTGGGGAATGTCTTTCTTTGGGACCTTGGGGTGACCTGGGGACAGTGGGGGAGGAGGGTTTAGAAGCATGGGGCAGAGCAGGTGATGAAGTAACTAGTGTTCCTGAGAGTGGTCTAGGATAGGTGTTTAGGAGCTGACCTCAGGATTAGAGATCCAAGCTGGTCTTGGGTTTGGGATTCAGGATGGTTCAGGGTTGGGACTTAGGTGCTGATCTTAGAATGGGCTCAGTACTAGTCCTAGGATACCAAAGACTTGAGATATTGTTATCAAGACATAGGATCAGGTTCATCTCAGGTTATAGGAGCTTTAGAGTATGAGAAGTCTTGGCAAGCTGGTCCTGAGATATCTGAGCCTGTATTCCCACCAATAGAGCTGCTGCCAGAAGTTCCGGGGGGCAAGTCGCAGATGCATGAAGTTGCAAAAGCTACCTCTGGTTTGAGGATGGATGGAAAAGGACGCTGTCATTGACAGTCCTACCAACACACACACACAGGAGTCTGTAACTCCAGGTGCCCATCCCATCCTCTTACTGCCATACCCCATCTCATACTGCTGACAGCATGACTCCAGGAAGTTGGTGACAGGAGACATCAGCATGCAGAGTCTGCCCACTGAACCAGTGGTTACTGAGTTCAACTACTGCCCACTCAGCATCCTCTTCATGCAAGAAGTAGGTCAGGTTTGGTAGTCAAACTCAGAAACCTCCAGGGGATTTGTAAGCAACTCTGGGGCTGGACTGCATTTATTGATGGACCTCAAACTAGGAGGCTTAAATGGTGACCTTTAGGCACTCAAATGTCTCCAACTCTGGTGTCTAATGGGGGGAAAGCAGGCACATTGACACAGACATTGCCCATAAGGTGGTCCCCCAAATTGTCACACACATTCATCTCTTCAGTCTCCCTATACTTCTCCTGCAGTTCCATGATCACGCCTGCGGAGACTAGCAGGTGTTCAGCTGAACTCTTGGCCCACAATTCACCCCATTTCTGGCAATCCTCACCCCAAATAAGTTATCATAATGTTCTTGCATCTCTACATCGCACACGTGACTTGAAATCAGGAGGTGGCCTGCAGAGGACAGTCCATCCTGCCCCCAAGAAATGGTCCCTCTAGTGTGATCCGTCTGCGGTTCGGGCGGTGTTCTGTGGATTCCGGTACAGGTTGAGCAGCACCATTGTCTGAATAGATTTAAGAAGGGAGGGCCTGAGCAGAGAAAGCAGGGTTATGTGCAAAGGTGTTGGGAAGTAAGCATCTTGAGTGCATCAGCGATGCATGTCCCTAAGGAAACCAGCAGAGGGAGGACCAAGAAGTGAGAGACAACCGAGATGTGTAGGTTAAGGAAGGAACGGGCAGAGGTCCGACTAGAAAAAAGCCGGGTGGTAGGGTGGGCCTAAGAAATCCGGAAAAGGCGGGACCTCGGATGATGGACAGCAGGAGGGCGATAGCCGGGAGGCGTTAACCCTCCAGGCTGCGTGCCAAGTCTCACCAGCATGAACGTTTGTCGTGAAGCCAGGAGCACTGATCCCCATTTCGGCAGGCCCCGATCCTAAAGTAAAAGGAGCAGTTAACCCTGGAAGAGGTGTAACGACAGAGGTATACCTAAGGCTGAAGACCCCAGAAATACCCCACGCCGCCCAGCAACCCCGACAGGTTATTGCCTGCGCCCGTTTCCACTTGTCCTTCTCAGTCCCGAATATCGAAAAATTCAGGCATTTTTACCAGAACTCTCCAACTCGATCGGCTCAAAGTCACTTCCGTTGCTTCAGAACATTGGGAAGTGTAGTTCTTCGCTGCCTCGTCTTGCTTAGCACGCGCTCACAAACTCCCTAATGCGCTTGCGTGTAGGAAGCCTGCGCCCTTCACAGAATCCGACAGAAATTCCCTGAGAGCGCATGCGTGCAGCGCTGCCTATAAAAAAAGACTACAAACTCCAGAGATCCTTGCGGCATCACACGCAAACGTCCGTAAGTTGAAAGAGGCAAAGGCATCTACCCGGAGGAAGTAAACTCCACTGGTGAGATGGGGGTCTTTTCGCGCACCCCAGTAAACATCAAGAGCGTCTCAACCCTATCAACTTACTGGTGGGGGCGGGGGTGCCCTACTTTCAGCAAACCCTTCAATTTCTCTCCGTTTTGTCGTACAAAGGGCGTGGATTTTCACGATTCTTGCATCTCGGTGTCTTGCCCCTCAGACCCTCGGAACGACGTGGCCGTAGCGCAACTATGAACTTGGAGCGGGTGTCCAACGAAGAGAAGTTGAACTTGTGCCGCAAGTACTACCTGGGTAAGGACCAGTATCCTAGAGTCTCAGGAGAAAAAATAGGACGGAATGAGGTCTGTAGGGCTGGATTTTTGGATCTAAGGGATGAAGCCGCTGGGCTGGGAGCGCGATCTCTGAGGGAAGGAACTGGGTCCTGAGGAGGGAGAAGCTGGGCCTCAAGAGCTTCTTGGTCCCAAGAGGGGAATTGGGGGCTGAACTCCTGGGTTCTGACAAAGAGATGGCTGAGGAATCAGATTCTTGGATCCCAGGGAGGAACCTTGATATCAGAATCCTTAATTGCAGAGATCTCGACTTGAACTTGGGTGTGGGAGAACTTTCCAAATAAGTCATCTAAGTGGGCGTTGGGGAAGATACTAATTGTCTTATGTCCTAGTTTGGCTTTTTTCTCTTTAGGTGGGTTTGCTTTCCTGCCTTTTCTCTGGTTGGTCAACATCTTCTGGTTCTTCCGAGAGGCCTTCCTTGTCCCCCCATACACGGAACAGAGCCAAATCAAAGGCTGTGAGTCCAGGGTACAGTTGAAAGATGGCCATTGGGAGGTGGAGGGGTGGAGGAGCTCTGGTGGGATGGGATGAAAGGAGTTCCAGAATTCTAGGGCTCTGTGGAAGAAAAGAGAGAACTGGTCTGGAAGTGACCACAGAGCAGGTGGAAGCCAACCTTACCCACTCCTGTTACCTTTTACAGATGTCTGGCGCTCTGCTGTGGGCTTCCTTTTTTGGGTGATTATACTCACCACCTGGATCACCATCTTCCAGATCTACCGGCCCCGTTGGGGCGCCCTTGGGGACTACCTCTCCTTCACCATACCTCTGGGTACCCCCTGACAAATTCTTCAGCACAGGCCTGGGACCGGATCATTCTCCCAGGATGGGCTCCTGTACTCCGAGCCCACTTTCAAGTACCCCTAATACTATTCCCATCTCTGTGTTCTCTGTTGACATACACCAATAAATGACCTTAATTCTCTATGTTGACTTCCTGGGATCTTTTGAACATTGAAACAAAATTATTATTACTATTCAGAAACATTCATTAAATGCTTACTTTGTTCCAGGGTTAATGTTTTATGCATTATGTGCATCTTTTCACTGAATACTATTCATAACCCTTCTGAAATAGGAACTATCCTGCTCCAGAAACCTGTTTTACAGATGCAGAACCAAGAAAGGAATATGATTCTATTACTAGGGGCTGTTCTGTTACTGGTATGTGAGTTTGAAAACATTGCTTTTCCATTTGGCCTTAGTATTCTCATCTAAAGTGTGGACCACAATACTACCTTTTGGAATTTATCTAGGTCAAGGCGTATGTGGTAAAATGAAGTTCCCCATTTTCTGAAGATGTCTGCTTTATTAGAGAAAGCTTCCTTAACCAAACTATTTCAAATTTCAGTATTTTACTTGTTTATTGTGTACCCCCATCCTCAAAATATAAGCTCTATTAGGACAGATATTTTTGTTTGCTTTGTACTCTGCTTGTGCTTAGAAGACTGGCTCGCACAGTAATATTTGCTAAGTGAACACGGTTGTACCTGAAAAGAGATTAATAGGTAGTTGGCACTAATGAGTGCTCAAAGGGAACAAAGCCTAACTCCAGATTTGTCTTCCAATTAGAGGCAAGAAGGGCACGGTTAATGGCTTTTATTAAAAGCTATTAGCACTATAAGTTCCAAAAAACTCGCGTTGCTCTGGTCCTTTATCTCCCACCGTGCATCGCGCGGCGCAGGCGCTATTAACTACCGCTGAGCCAGAACTACACCTCCCAGAAAGCGTGCCGGAATGTCGTTAGTTTGTTTCCGGAAGTGAGTCCCCAGTAAGGTGGGACTTAGAGATGAGAGCTGCCAATTGGTCAGGGTACGAGATCGACGGTTGTAGTGACTAATGGGAACAAGCGATTGCCGGTGGGGCCACACCAGAGGGGAGCTGGAGGTGCTGGCGGCGGCTGTCGTAGACCAACGCTGCTCTGGGCGGAAGACCTCTCGCACACGAAGCTTATCTTTGACGATCTCCGACTGCCTGTGCCCTTGACTTGTGACACTAGGCCCTCCTCTGACCCAACTAGCCAGACACCAGACCCAAACCATGTTCCCGGTGAAGGTGAAAGTGGAGAAATCAGGTGAGGTTTTGAGATCGGGGCCTGTAGAAGAGCACGGGACTGACCAGGGTATGCGAGTCCGGATAGACAGGGTCATCGCGATAAGGTAGACTGAGACTTCTCCCTGCAGCCCTTCTGCCCATAGCTATGTCAGGCTTTGAGCAATTCCTGCTGCCTGCATAGCTTACCAGTCTCTGCTCGAGATTGCTTTGCGATTGAGTGGTGCTGGCTCGGGCAGTGTGGTCCCGCAAGACATGGGATTCCCAGCCCCGTGACCCTGAGAAAGACTACTTTGCTGTGTCTCAGTTTTTCCATTTCTAGCAATAGTTATGAATCAAACATTGTACTGAGTGCCTGAAGTACAAGGATATTTTTAATCCTTGAAGTCATTGGGAAATAATCCCAGAAGTCGGAAATGCGGTAGATGGGAAAACAAGCTGAGAGAGAAGAATTCATTTTGGGTTGGGACCAAGCTTATGGGAACCCAGGACTGGCCGGTGGGAAAGGCACAGAATCCAGATAAAATATAGTAGTAAAATGATGTAGGACGTTAAATGGTATACATGGAATAAAATGAAACAGAAAAAATGTGAGATCAAAAGTGAGGCAAGGTGAGGGAGAGAGCCATGAGGATATGTGAGTGAACATCAAATAAGACAAAGGAAATAGCTTTGAAAAGGCCTTGTCTGGCCTGTTCAAGGACCAGCCGGGAGGCCAGGTGGTTGGAACAGAGTGAGTGAGGTAGAGAGTGTGAGGCGATGGAGGCCAAAGAGGGAGGGGAGAGGAACCAATCTTGTGGACCCAGGTTAGGACTTAGGTTTTGCTGTGAGAGAAATGGGGAATCAATGGAGGGTTTTGAATTGAGGAATAAGTTAATAAAGATGCCTTTCAAATGCCAGAAAAAATTGTGGAAGGAAAAGTGTAGGGGGCCCAACCACAATGATGATGTGGGTAGGTAGGATCATGGAGGCCTGTGACCAGCAGGCTTAGGAGCTCAGGCTCTGCCCTGAGGCACTGCAGAGTGGTGGAGGGTTTTAAGGGGAGTATTGGGGTCAGGATTGATTTTAGGAAGACTTCCCTGGCCACCTTGTGAAGGGTGGATCAGAAGGGGAGACTGAGGTTGGAACCCAATGGAAGGAACGAAAAGGACTAGGTTGGGCAGGGAAGGGTTGGGATAAGTGGTAGAAAAGGAGGCCAAGTGGACAGGAGTTGGTGATTTGGGATGGAGGAGAGAGAGAGGTGTCCCTGTTGAGGCCCAAGGAGGGATTAGGGGACAGCAGGGCTATCCTTGAGATGAGGGCCCAGGAAAGAGGGTAAGTTTAGAGAAACATTGAGGCCAATGATAATGTGGAAGCCAATAGGTAGAAGAACCAGGAGAAGGTGTCCTGGAGTCCATGAGATCCCAAAATCTGAGGTTCAGAAGAGAAGTGGGGGCTAGGGATGTGAGGATAATCCATACCTTGTCTCCTGAACAAGGCTTTTCACTAGAATCTCAGCTGCCCCAGTCCACACCCTATTCTGTCTCTGCGTGATGTCAGGAATTCGTGCATCTTCTGGTCTCCTCAGGAAGTCCCAGGGCTGGCCAGAGCATATCCCCAAGTGTCCTTCCAGGCTCTGAGCACTGTGCCAAAGCACCTACTAGCTGGAAGAGGAGAGCAAACACCTCACAGGGTGAGAAGAGAATATTTATAACATCATTACCTCTTTAAGTTCTGTGATGAACAGAGGCAAAAACAGGCTGCAGAGCCAGGCAAGGCCTGTGATAATGCAGGAAGGTGGGCCCAGATCTCATTTCCATTATGTGTATGGCAATGGGGTGAGGTGGGGGGTCTTTTGGGTGAAATCTCCCAATTAAATGTGAGCTCATTCAGATTCAGTTCAGATTTAATATAACTCCACTGCCTTATCCAAACAAAGTTTATCTGGGGACTAGATACCACGTCCCATTTGAGTCCCTGCCATATAATTTTAGCTGTGGAGCCAGATGGCCTGCATGCAAATTCTTAGCCCCTAGCTGTGTGATTTTGGGCAACTATCAAACATCTGTATGCCTCAGTTTCATGATCTGTAAAATGGATAAAAATCATATGTACCTACCACGGTTATTGTGAGAATTCAATGGATTAATATTTATGATATGCTTGGAATAATGTTTGGCACATGATAAGCACTCTGTATATATTACTTATTATTGCATTCTGCTAAGAGATTCATATACAACATAGGCCTATTTAAGTCTCAAAACAGTCCTAACAAATAAGTATCATTTGGAGACCTATTTTCAAGAGGAAACAAGACTCAGTAAGGTAAGATGATTTGTCTTAGGTGGGACAGCCCAGGAACCCAGAGCTCTTACTCATCACTTAAGTAGTCTGCCCTCCGCACCCTTCCAGCACACCTGGGCCTGATTAGTTTGACTACGCGTGCCTTTCCCCAGCCAGTCGACTTCCCACCTGCCTTGAGCCTGGAAGCTGACTCTTTCTTGGTACCCTCTTCCCCAGAGTTGGAGATGGCCAAGGCCCGGAACCAATTGGATGCTGTTCTACAGTGTCTGCTGGAGAAGAGTCACATGGACAGGTTGGGAGCTGGGCCAGCCTGAGGTCAGAGGGGGTTGGGCCCTCTAGTCCTGGGTGGATTTAGATGGCCCCCCAGAACCTGACTCAGGGAGGCAGGGGCCCAATGGAGAGGCCATTCATTGCCTTACCACTGTGGGCCCTTGGAACCCTGAGTCCACAGTTATCTTCTGCTACCAGGGAGCGTCTGGATGAGGAAGCCAGGAAGACCCCCTCAGACACCCACAGCAAGTAAGTTTTCCTGGTGGGATCTGCAACTGAGGGTTTGTGGTGAATGACTTTTCTCACCCAAGCCCTGACCACTCTGACCCCTGCTTCCTCCACCACAATTTTAACCACTCTGTGTGTACCAAGACCCGGGGGCAGCAGAAGCTTAGATCCCCTCGTACTTGGCAACTAGAGCCCCAGGGCTTGGGTGGGACACAGAGCCTGCAGGGCTATTGGGGAACATGTGAGCATCAGGCTTGATCTCAGTATCCATAGGGTGTCTTTTGGGAGATTTTGAGCAGGCATTTGTTCAAGAGTGAGCCTGCTCATGCCCTGTCTCTTCCCACAGGGATTGCTCCATTGTGGCCACTGGCAAACGGTAAGGTGGCAGGGGTTTCAGCCAGGTGAAAAGAAGTCCCCAGCGCTGGTCCTGATGTTCTCTCAACTCACACAGGCCATCTGCCCGCTTCCCCCACCAGCGGAGGAAGAAGAGAAGGGAGATGGATGATGGGCTGGCCGAAGGAGGGCCACAGCGATCTAGTGAGTAGGTGGTAGCCCTAGAGGGCGGTCAGTGATAGGGACTATGTAAGCATGTTCACATACCTCCCGCTCCCAATTCCCTAGATGCGTATGTGATTAAGCTGTTTGACCGGAGTGTGGACTTGGCTCAGTTCAGTGAGAACACACCGCTATATCCAATCTGCCGTGCCTGGATGCGCAACAGCCCCTCAGTGCGTGAGCACGAACGCTCACCCAGCTCACCGTTGCCCCCACTGCCTGAGGATGAGGAGGTGGGATGGGTGGAAGGTCCTGCCCAACAGCCAGGGAGGGAGTGGGTAGATGGTTACACGGTACCCTCCTCACAAGCTATTGGGATAGACAGGCAGTTTTCTGTGTCCCTTAAATGTCTCCTGGATCCATTGAGGCACACAGATATGAACCCTTAGATTGGGAGTATGGATGTAGCTCTTCAGAGCAGACACACATGGCTACCTGTTCTGGGAGAACGAGGGAACAGGTTCACCTGGGCAAATATATGTGATCTCTAAGATTGGGATCCCCAAGAGCTGGGGGGCTGGAAAGGGGTCCTTAATGTAAATAGGCATAGCCACCTGATCTAAAGGAGCAGATGGGGATCTCTCCACTGGCTGGGTAAGGTCCCCATCCTTCAGACATGACTCCCAAGTACAGGTCCCAGAAGAGACCCTCATGTTTGTTGTCACTGGGAAAGGAAGAAGGGGTAAAATGTGTACCCCTGGCCCTCATTTCTGACTCTTGGACCTTTTATGGGGTTCCTATGACTCCAGGGTTCAGAGGTCACCATCAGCAAGAGTCGGGATGTGTACAAGTTGCCTCCTCCCACAGCCCCTGGGCCATCTGGAGATGCCTGCAGATCCCGAATTCCATCCCCACTGCAGCCTGAGACACAGGGTACCCCTGAGGATGAGGTGGGTCTGCAAAACTTGCCTGGGGCTATGGGACATATATTGTGGGGCGTGGACATGGCCACCTAGCCTGGCTTCTCTGTCCACACAGCCTTCTGAACCCTCACCCTCACCTTCCACACTCATCTATCGCAACATGCAGCGCTGGAAACGCATCCGCCAGAGGTAAGCATCCCCAACCTGCTTGCTCCTCTATGGCTTCTGCCCCAACTGCTGAGCCCTCCCTCTGCTTTCCCTCTCCCAATGCAGGTGGAAGGAGGCATCTCATCGGAACCAGCTTCGTTACTCAGAAAGCATGAAGATCTTACGGGAGATGTATGAACGACAGTGATGTTCCCCTGACCCTAATAAACATTTCCCCTCTGTACACTGGCCTTTGATTGCTCCAGCCTGTCCTTCCCAGCCCAGACATAAAGCAGATAGCACAGCTCTAGCACATTTATTGAGGAGTGAGGGGATAGGGCAGCAGGGAATTCAGGGAGGGAGAAAAATTCTGGAGAGAAATGCTTCACATCCAACAGCACCGAAATCAAAGAAGGTGGCTGCAGGCTGGGTCTTGGAGAATAAGGGTGGAGTCTGGAAAGTGGATTGCCTGTGGTTAGAGACTTAGGGTTCAAGACAAAGTGACAAGGGTGCCCTTGGAGATGAGTGTGAGGATATTATGTAGAGCCTGGGGAAATGAGCAAGATAGCTATATTTTGAGGGTCCTTGTTGGCCTAGAATAAGTTTTCCGGGGGGGCGGGGGGGGGGTCAGAAAAGGGATTTAAGAGTCTGAAGGTGACTGGTTGAGAATTTCAAGTCAGAAGATGAGAATAAGGGGAGAATGAGGGGAAGACCAGGCTTGGGTGATCTAGTGTGGGAAGTCTGCAGAGTCTGGGACTTTGTGGAGAGGGGATGAGGGTTTATGCTTGATTGGCCTATGGGAACAGGCTGTCTATATCATAATCTGGTGTCAGTGATTCTTTTATGTTGAGAAGGAAATAGGTTTTGAGTGGGTTTACAGGCCAAGAAATGGGTTAGTGGGGATGGGCTTGTAGGGTCTGGAAGCCAGGAAGGTGTTGGGGTTTGGAAACGAGGGTGTGTGAGGATGAGATCAGGGCTGAGTCTAGGTTGGAAGGGTCTGAGCTGGATCCCAGATCGGTGTAGGGGTAGTGGCATGGCGAGCTCGGTACATCTGGCTGGGCGGAGTCAGGTCGGCTTTAAGAGGTGGCCTGAGGCGGTTCCCAGGCTTCAAGTGTGCCCAGACCCCAAGTTGGCAGCAGCCTGTGGTTGCGGCAGTGGGGCCTGGGCCAGCACGGGCACGGCCTGGATGGACAGAACGCCCTCAGGGGACAATGCTGATGTCACGGCGGCAGGGTCTACACCGGGTGGCAAACGATAGCGGCGGTGAAACTCTCGAGCCACGTATCCATGCTCATCCTGGAAACGGAGAGGCTTGAGAGGTCCCGCCCTTCCCTGATGCTGCCCTTTCCCGTACGCCAGCCCCCAGCGGGCTCACGGGGCTGCCCCCACCAGCGGCTCACCGGGCGCTCCTCATGGCGAGCGTGGACCTCCACATGTTCACCAACCACCTTGACGGTGATTTCCTCTGGAGAGAAGTGCTTCACATCCAGCAGCACCGAGAAATGCCTGGGGTCGGTGGGCACCTGTGCACATTTTGTCATTTGGCGAGGCAGGGCTCCCAGGACCCAAGCCAGGCCTCTCCCTCAGGTTCTAGTGCAACTGACTGGCCTCCGAAACAGGCATCCCTTTTCCTGCTCATAACCATGGATGGCCTCCTCGTCCTGAAGAACTAGTCTCCTCCTCTCACCGGGAGGGAAGCCCCCTTTCCCTGCCAGGTCAGAGACCTCAGGCCTCACAGAGTGAGAACCCTTCATCCCCCCAGCTCTGGGGATGGCGCAGATGGCAGTCTTAAGAGCAGAATTGTGGGTACAGAGAATATGGTGGACCAGCCAACGACCCCATAGTCAATGTGTCCTCCTGGACACTCCTCCCCAGGCCTTTCCTCTCAGAGTCCTGGGGCCTTACTGCCATCTCCCTCTCTCCCCCAAGGGACCACTTGCGTCCTCAGGAGCCAGCCCCCTCCCCATTCTCAAGTCACAAGACCCTCCTCTCTGCCTCTCCGGGATACACAGGGTCACTTCATATAATCTACAAACTCTTTCCCAGGAATAACAAACATTCCCTCCCTGCAAGAGTCACTGGAGCCCCTATGCCCTTCAGCATGACTGACCTCCCATCACCCACACCCAGATCCCCTGAGTTATTAGGGGATAACCTCCCTCAAGTCATCGGGATCCCCCTTCAGAGTGACCACCTCATCCTCTCAGTCCCCTTAGAACTGAGATTCTCCTCAGATCGACGGGGACCTCCGACCCCCTCCATTAACCTGACCTCTAAAATGCCATACTTGGGGAACTCCGGAAGCCCCTCTGAATGGTCGGATTCTTCGTCCCTCTCAAAGTCAAGGGACATTCCCTCATCCCCCTCAGGATGACCAGCACCCTCCCCAGGCTTGGCACCTGGGCGGCAGGCAGCGCTACGCTGGGTGCGCGCAGGTAGTAGGGCGCCAGCGTGGTGGGGCAGAGCGCAGCGAGCTCAGCCTCCAGCAGCCCCTCGCCGAAGCGCTGGTCGAAGAGGCGCCCAGGAGCCGAAAGCCCAGGCAACGGGGCGGAGGCGCGGCGCAGCCACGACGGCTGCACGGGCACGGGGATCTCCATCCTGCTCCTGCTGCGCTGCGGTGTCCCCGGGGCGTCCCCGCTGCTTTATAGTCCGCCCTGCGTCCGCCCCTCGGCGGGCCGCCCGGGGACATTCGGACTGCGGCCAGACCCAGCCACTAACAGAGCCTTATTTAGAAAGCCAACAATGACTTGGCCATTTATTAAGCTCCTGCTGGATGCCAGAGAGGTATCAAGATTCTCCAGTTTCCCGAAGGGAAACTAAGGCTGAGGAGGCGGAGCCTTGCCGGAATTTGGGGCAGAGGGCTTGAGAAGCCCTCTGCAGAGCTCCCAGTCCCTTTATTCCACCCCTGCCCTGCAGGCAGCTCTGGGGATGACGCAGATGGCAGTCTTAAGAGCAGAATCGTGGGTTCAGAGACTGCGGTGGACCAGCCAAACTGTCAGAAGGACACAGGACAGACCATTTCCATCAGCCCAGTCCGGGCAAGCCGGGCCTAATTCTGTGCCTCTGACTCAGTCTCGGCTGCACAGAGTAGCGGGGTCTGCCAGGTGAACAGCGGCCAGGGACTGTGGACAAGAGTCCAGGTTGGCCCCCGGGGGAGCGCGCGCCTGGCCCGAAATAGCTTGTTTTGATCCCGCCACTTGGCCAGGAGCCCAGGCCTGGCACTTGGCGCAACCAGCTGCTCCTGCAGCAAGACAGAAGCAGGTGACCGGGCGGGACGGTCCTGCAGGTCCGACTGACGGAGGGATGTCCGTTAGAAAGGGGACAGTCTCCCCGATTGCCCCTACAACGGGAAAAACGTCTGTTGGAATAGATTCTGGACGAGATTCCCGCAACAAGCAGGTTGAAAAACAAGGCTGCAGGGAAGCGCGCGTACTTTAGAACCCCTCCTAACCTTGAACAGTTTCACATTCTTTCCATTGGTCCACAGGCTTGCCAGTCACTGCTGCACGTTATGGTTCTCCAGTCACACACGCTCTCTCAGTCAGGCTGACTCCACAGCCAGTTGTGAGACACCCGCCTGCGGCCACTTTGCAATTACTTTTCATCATTGGTCGCCTTGGAGGCGCTGTAATCCCGCGAGGGCACCCCGGGAGAGGGGCGGGGCGGACAGGGCATTGCTAAGCGACCGAGAGGCGCACTGGGTCAGTCGGTGCTGGGGAGTTGCAGGCGGAAGTAGCCACCGGATAAACCGTAGGTGAGGCCTTCCCTCTTCCGGGGACCACAGGATGCCTGAAGAACAGGGTGAGAGAGAGAAGCACCACCTGGGGTCAGGATGGCTGGGGTCCGGAGTCTCCTTCAGTCGCAGGGAACTAAAACTCCCAAGTTGTTCCACAGCTTTGCTGCTCCAGTCTTGGACTTCACCATCCCTGGGGGTCCCATAGTGTCTTGCGTTCCGCTGTTAGTGATCCCAAGATCTTTTTTCCCTTCTAAGAGTGTCCAGAGGAAATCTTGGGAATTAATTTTCTTAATTTTGAAATTGCCCCCAGACTCCCACAGGTGTTGTTTTTTGTTTGTTTATCTTTCTTGCTTAGGAAGAGCCCATTGACTGATGGGGATTGTAGTCCATCTGCCCCTTTTTCCTTAGACTTCCCAAGATCTGTGGGAAATGTACTGCGATAGCGTTTAGCTATGGTTCTTAACCGGAGGTCCACTTCAGAATTCCGGGACTTCTGAAAAAGTCCCTAGGAAAAAAATACAGATGCCTAACGCCTGCTTCCAGATAATTCTTATTCTTTAAGTCTGGGGTGAGGACCACACGTCTGTTGTTGTTTTAAAGACAACCCCTAGGCTGCACCCAATGTTGAGATCCACCATTAGCAGTTCCTGGGTTCTTCTCTTTTGAGACTGCTCCAAGGGCTGACGCCTCCAGTATCATGAATGTGCTGTGGTGCATCATGGGAATTATACTCCATCTTTTACAGGAATTCATGGGAATTGTAGTCTTTCTGTACTTCTCTTCCCATCCTCCTGCCCTCTACACTCCCCACCCCCATTCCTCCTGCGCTGTAGTGACCATGCTCTGCCTACCAACTTTACCCTCCCTTTGCAGCCTGCCAGTTTTCAACATTCAAGACAGCCCCTTTGGGGATTTTCCCTTGGGTCAAAACTAGCCCTGGCATTCCAAGGTGAGAACACCCCAGAGAGTGTTGTGTGACAGCCTAGTAGCAAGGGAGTGAAGACCTGTGAAGAGATGCCGGTGAGAGATTAAACACAGTCCCTCCTCCCCTTCCCCATGGCCCTTCCTTTATCTAGTCCTCTCCACCATCACAGCCGAGTTTTCTCTGAGTTGTTACCACTGTGAGATATGTTTCCTCCCCTCTGGACTAAGACTTTACATGTGTCTTTGTTTCTTCAGGGATATCACTTTTTCTTCTCCCCACATCCTCTATCTTAGACTCTGAGCCCATCCAGGTCCCAGAGATCCAGGATCCCAGGAACTCCCAAGGCTCTGGCCACAGATCCCAACTCCCCTGAGCTGTTTGAGAAGTCCTGGCCATCTAGGTCAGGGACCCCTTCCCCACCCAGCACCACTGAGGAACAGATGGGTACCTCTTCACCACCCACTCTGATTGACAGTGGTGACTCCGTGGTGGCCAAGTAAGTACCATCAGCCCTGAAGGCAAGAAAGATTAGGGGGTGGGGGGAAGGCATCCTGTTATTACCACAGCCAGTGCTGTTTAGGTAGCACTTTCAGGACTACACTTCATGTGTTAAGAGCTCTGGAGTTAAGGCTGCCTGGGTTCAAATCCCTGCTCTGTCAGTTACTCTTTGTATGATCTTCTAAGTTTTTTTGTCTATAAGTTGGGGATATGAATAACATATCCCCAAGGGCTGTTTAAGCTTTCAATGAGTTACTTACTGTCTATAAAGCTTCTATAACAATGCTTGTCACATAGTGAGCTTTTGGATTTGTAGGACACAAGTTCACTGTTAAAACGAAGAGCCCCAGATTAATTGTGGCTTAAACAAAATAGTTTATTTCTCCCTCACCTAACAGTACAGGCAGAAGCAACCAGGGTCAATATGACACCCTAGTCGAGATGTCAGAGACACAGTTTCCTTCTATCTCATTCCCCTTCCCCTTACTCCTCCTCTAGACTGTTGCACTTTCCTTCATGGATCAAAATGACTCCCAACAACATCCATTACTCGGAATCACATCTCTTCACACCCTGTTAGTCAAGAACCCAGTTACATGGCCATAAAGTTACAAGGGCACCTGGTAAATATATGTATAGAAGAATGGGTATGTGTCCAGTACTAGTCTTACATAATATTGTATTACTATATAAGAAAAAAAAAAGATGGATATTGAGGCACAACTACCAGGTGCTTTCATAATGTTCAATAAACATTGGCTATTATGATTATTACTGTTATTATTTGGCTTTCCTTACCCTAACCTCCTCCCCTTCTCTGATGCCCAAAGATTCATAAACCGGTTCCGGCAGGCTCAGCCCACAAGCCGAGAGGAACGCCAGCCTGCAGGCCCAACCCCAGCTGACTTTTGGTGGTTGCGGCCTGAATCTCCAGACCCTAGTAGTCAACTTGCAGCAGGTACTTGCTTCAGTCCCATCCACTCCTGGCCCAAAACCTTTTCTTTTTAACTTATCTTTATTGTTGAAAGTATTACAGATGTCTTCCCTCCATCGACCCCCTCCACTCAACTCCTGTCCCTTCACTAGGCCTTTCCCTCACTATTGCCTGTCAATGGGCTGTGCATATGTGCAAATAAGCTCATTGTTTAATCTCTCAACCCCCCCCCCTTCTTCCCTCTGAAATACGTTAGTCTGTTGCATGCTTCAGTGTCTCTATCATTTTTGTTCATTAGTTTATTTTGTTCATAGATTCCACATGTAAGTGAGATCATGTGGTACTTGTCTTTCTCTGACTGGTTTATTTTGCTTAGCATAATACTCTCCACATCTCTCCATGCTGTTCCAAAATCTTTCTTGTCCAGTGCTTTCAGCAGCCACTCCTCCTGGCCTTCCTAAATCAATTGAGGTTTCTCAGCAGGAGCCAATAAACCAGAAGGAAGACTCACCACAGAAATCCCAACTCTTGCCAAGGTTGCCAGTGCATCGCAGGCTAAGGCTATGGCCCCCCTTCAGGAAATAAAGCAGGTGACATCCCCATTTATTCCTCCCCCTATATTCCCTGAACTGATAGTACCAGCCCTGGGATAGAATTAGAGTCAGTCCATTCAAGGAAGCATAAACAAACAAAAGATTTGTTTGCTAATGTAATTAAAAAGTCCAAAAGTAACTTCTTTCAGGCATGGCTGGATCCAGGTGTTTGAACACTATTGGGAAGAACTTGACTGGTTTGGCTTTCTGTCATCTTTGTTGGGCTCAGTCTCAGGCAGGCTTTCCTCTCAACATAGCTAGGGTGGCCTCAGTAGTTCTAGCCTTTTAACGTATTTATCCACAGGAAAGAGGAGCCTTTTCCAGTAGCTCCATCCAAAGCCCTTGTTATTCTCATCAGCTCACAATCACTGTGACCAGAGGATAGAATGTTGTGATTAGCCAGGCCTGGCCAGGAAGGCAGGGTCAACACTTCTACAATAATAATTTCACTGAGGGTGTGGATCCACACAAGAAATCTGGGTCACTCTTCCCTGAAGAGGAAGAGCAGATGCTAAGCCAGCATGTGAGGGTACTAGGTGGAGTATCCTTTGTCTGAGCAGCCTTTGGACTCTGGGCTGGCCTCTGACCATCTCGCCTCACAGAGCCTCAACACATGGAACTCATCCCTGCTGGACTTGGAGATGCTGAGCCTGCAAAGTAGAGCTGCCAGGCTGCTGAAACACAGGTGCTTTCCCTGCCCCCATCATCCTCTCCACTCCTACAACTTCAGGCCCACCCATTGCCTGTGGGACCCCTACTGCCTCATTTCTGTATTTTTCCTACAGCAAGGCCTCCGTCTCCTCCTGCAGCCCCACCAATTCCGTATTCCCTGTCAGCTCTGATGGTCTTTCTCCTTCCTCTGTGGCCTTCACTCCTGACTCCAGCAAGGGCTCTGACCCCAAGGCACATGGTGAGTTCTGGAGAGCAAGAATTGAGGGCAGCCGGTGGGAACCCCACATTTGCCAGTAATCAGCTATGTGACCTTGGGCCTCTGTGTGCCTTCCTTGTTTCCCCAAAATGGGGACAATAATTGTACTCTTCTGTTGGTGTGGTGAAGATTAAATTAGTTGGTGAATATGGAGTACTTAGCACCAGTCTGTTAATAGTAGCTATCATTAGTCGGACAGGTTCTCTTTCTGTATCCTATCTGCCTCTAAACACAGAGCTCCAAAATCAGAAGGCTTTTTGCAAATTTGACGCTATACTTGATTTGACAGCAAAATCTGATCTCAACAATAAGAAGGATATTTATTATCTCTCATTTAGGACAACTTCATACTTTTTTTTTTTTTTTTTTTTTTTTTTAAATATATATTTTATTGATTTTGTACAGAGAGGAAGGGAGAGAGATAGAGTTAGAAACATCGATGAGAGAGAGTCATCGATCAGCTGCCTCTTGCACACCCCCTACTGGGGATATGCCCGCAACCAAGGTACATGCCCTTGACCAGAATCGAACCCGGGACCCTTCAGTCCCCAAGCCGACGCTCTATCCATTGAGCCAAACCGGTCCCGGCATACTTTTTGCTATGAATTTATTACATTGAAACATGAAATTTTTGCCTTTGTAAGTAAAAAATGGTTAAATATTGCCAATTGCATATTGTTCAACCAAACACCAATGTGTTTGAGTCTGGTGCATCAGACCCCTGGCTACACTGTATATGTCATACAATTTCACTAAAACATGCAAGATTTCAGAAATGAGATTAGGGACCTGGGTTAGTGTTGCTGCCATCGTTGTGGTTACTTTTAGTCTGTGCCCATGTCCTGGGATACAGTGGAGCACAGGACAGGTGCTCTGCAATCTCACGGGGCTTCCACGAGTAGGGACAGGCAAGCACAGACAACCAGAGATTTTCCTGGTTGTGTGTGATCCTGCTCAAACTCACCTGTCTGATTCTTTCTTCCAACCCTAAGTTACACCTTTTGTTCACCTTTCCTTTCTGAGCCTCAATTTTCTCTTTTTAAAATAGGAATAAACCTAGTACCCATTTCATGTTTTTTCATTCATTCATCTAACAAAAATTACATTTCTGCTGTGTATGAGGCCCTGAGAGCAGGATTAGATATTCCACAGTGAACTAATCATGAATACTTTTATCTTCAGGGTTCTCACAGCACAGTGAGTGTAGAATAGAGTAGCTACATAACCCCACAAACAAATGTGAAACATAAGCAGAAACGAGGGCTATTGAAGAGAGGACTGTGATGCTGAGAAGTCAGAGAAGGCCTTCCTAGAAGAGATGCTATATAGGTGGAGACCTGAATGATTAAGGTGGGGACAAGCGCCTTCTAACGTGTTCAGAGGACCTGAAGTGGGAGGAACCATGGTGCAGACAATGAACTAGAAAAGGCAAGAGCCAATGGTGAGAGTGCTAGGTGATAAGAACAGATTGGCAGAGGTCAGATTACATTGGGCCATGTAGGCTTGGGGAGGCATTTGGTCATTATCTTAGTACCGGGCAGCCATGAGAGGGTTCTGAGCTGGAGGGTACATGATTTTCCTTGAGTGTTAACACACTCCCCCTGGCTGCTCTCGGTACCCAGTGCTGGTGCCGAGATGCTGGGCCAGAGCCTGAGGAGCAGAGTAGAGGGCAGTGGCCAGGTTTGGATGTAGAATCACAGGATTCTCTCCACACATCTTTTTTTGAGGGGGATAGAGGGTAGGGAAAGAGAGAGATCTGAGATGATGCCCCCTTTTCTGCAGCATCAGATGGTCAGGCTTCTGAGAGACAATGATAGCCCTACTGAGCATTGCTGTTGAAATGATGCTCTGGGTGATGGGAAAACGTTCTTTTGCTCTACTGGACTGAGGACAGACTGTTGTACTGAGCCAGAATAGTGCCTGGCTCAATAGTAAGAGCTAAATAAACATTTGTTAGTGAAGGAAGGATTAAATGATGGCAAGTTGGGAAATCCATGAGTTCTCTCTCTTCTGACTCTGCCCCTTCTCTACTTGCCAGTCTGGAGAGGAGTTGGGACATTATCTGGAGAGCCTGTCTGAATATTGGTACAGTCGAAGGTTGTGTGCACTGGCTGTCATCAGGTTGCTCATCCCCCCAACCTCGTGTCTTATCCTTCTTCCCTCTACTTACCCCATAGCAACTCCGGCACCAGCCCCCAGCCCTGCTCCAGCCCTGGTCTCCTCCCAGGCACCCCTGCGGCCAGAGGATGACATTCTGTACCAGTGGCGACAGCGGCGGAAGCTTGAACAAGCTCAAGGGGGTCAGGGTGATGGAACCTGGGTGCTGCCAGGGACCTCTGCCCTCACTACTCCGGTGAGATGGGGGAGGGAGGCAGTGGAGGGGGATTCTAAGGGTGGTTTGAGGGAGGGAGGCCTGAGTGGAACTGAGGACACCCTATTCTTTCTCTCTCTTCAGGTCCCTGTCCCCATCTGTCTGCATACCTCGCCTGCCCCTGCGGAGATCCTTAGTTCCCTGGGAACACAGCCTAACTGCATCCCACTCTGGGGCAGTGTGGCCGGGCCTGCTCCCCAGGAAGCCTATGTCGAGAGGCGTCCTATTCCCCCAGAGTTCTCTCCACACATCTTTCAGGGTCCTCAACCCCATAGGTTTTTCTGGACCCCACAGCCCGGTTCCTGGGTATCTTTTGGGGACGTCCCCCCCATGCCCTGTGCCTCTACTCCTGGGCCCCCTATCACCACCCAGGGCCCGCCCACCCCTGCGCCATGTACCTCTGCCCAGCTGGAGAGGCAGGACCCCAAACCTCGGAAGGGTAGAGCCTGGTGCCCGGAACCTGCTGGGCGAGTCATGGCGGCTGACCAGGAGCCTAGCCCACAGCTCCGTGGCCCTCTGGGCCAGGTAGTGACAGCTCGGCTCTTCCCTGACAGCTTGGAGGACACGCCCCCTCGCCTCAAGAGCCTGCCTCCACCTCTGGCCGAATCTCGGAAAATCAAGAACACACAACCCAAAACTAAGGTTATGCACCCGTGCTCAGCAGTTACCTCCCCTCTATCTGATTCACGGTTTCCTCAGGGGACCCCACCTGGTCGGCCTAAGGCTGAGTCTCGAAATGCCAAAACTACGCCCCTCGAGGAGGGGTGGGTGCTTTGCAGTGAACTCAGGAATCCTCAGTCCAAGGCCCCGCCCCCTCCAGCCGAAGAGGCTTCCACCGGGGCTGGAGCCCCGCCCGCTTTGTTCGAGGCGGGGTCTCTAGAGGCTGTGGTCCCTTCCTCGCCCGCTGCTGACCACGCCCCCCCAGAGGACCTGCTCTCCCAGGCCGCCAGGCTTCTGCAGGCTGCTGAAGGTGACTGATGCGTGTGGCTGCTGGGATCTGGATGGCTGTGGAGCATGCTGTGAGTCCACCCCCCTGGAGCTCGCTCTTTTTCCTCCAGATTCCGACAGCAGCGAGTTCCCGGAGGACCCTGTGCTGCAGGTGCTAAGGGTTCAGAGGGCTGAGCTGCGGCGGCAGAAAAGGTGAATATCTCCCTTAATCTTCTGAGATTCCCATCAAGTGTCCCCCTCTCTTGAACCCCTATCCCAGAACTATCCAGAGCTCCAGATCCTCCTGAGCACATACCTCAGCCTCTACAACCTGGCTTTTTTTTCCAGGAAAGTGGACGCCCAATTATCCCTCCTACTGGGTCACACCGAAGACTCAAGGTCTTGGTTCCTCCTGCCAGGTCAACCCCCAGGTCCCCAAGGATGTGGCTGAGGAGGAAATAACCTCACTTGAGGCCAGAAGATTTTGAATTGTACAAATTCTATTTTTCCCAATGAAATGCTCTTTTCGGGTTACAGGTTGTCTCCGAGAAAAGAGTTCTGAAAAGGCCAAAAATCATGCTAATTTAGGGAAATGGTCCCCCCTCCCCCGCCTCTACCTCCCCTGTCCTGCCCACCCCTACCCTAGTTACTGACTGTGGTACAGAATTTCTTCTGGTTTCATCCTCTTTGATGGTAAGACAGGGGAGGGGTTCCAAGCAAAGCTTTAGGCAGGACTGGGACTCATCTTAACTCAGGAGTGGGTGCTCCTGTCTCAAATGAGACAGAAGGAATTTCCTCTTGGTATGAAGCTATCAGAGTGTTGGACAATGGTTAGTTCTCAGCCCACATCCTGCTTGAACCAGCACAGTATTTGGTTCATTGATCCCACCTTCCTTGAAGCATTTCCTTCCCCTGCTTCTAGCATCACTAGCATGTCACTTTGGTGTGTCCCAGGGTTGGGCCTTGACTTCTCTATCTAAACTCATTCCCATGTGCTGTTGTAGCTTCCTGGCTCTAAATCCTATCTCTGTTCTGATAGCCCCTAAATTCCTATCTTCAGTCTAGATTGGCCACTATACCTCAAGCTTCTATGTCCTGCTACCTGCTCATCATCTTCACTCAAAGGTCTAAGAGATGTCCCAAACTGCACAGGTCTTAAACTGAGCTCCCAATCTTCCCCTAAACCTGCTCCTCCCAAACTTTCCTCAGCTTTGTCCTTCCTGCTCAGTCCAAAAGCCTCATACTCGTCCTTGATTCCTCTCTTTTTCCTCATACCCACAGTCAGTTGACCAGCAAGTCCTGTCAGGTCTACCTTTAAAATCTATCCAGAATTTAACCCCTTCTTCCCTTCTATGGCCCACACCTTAGTCTAAGCTATCATTATCTGTTTGGAATATTAAAAACCTGTTTGTTTTGTCAGCAAGTTCTTTGAAACATTTCTTATAAAAAAAAATCTAAGTTTCTTCTCCTTAAAACTGGATAGAACTTTGTGACTGCCTCTATAAACAGAATGCAGAGGAAGTGATACTGTTTTAAATTTCTAAACTGGATTAGAAAAGATAATACAATTTCCACGTGGCTCCTCTTGCTCTCTCTTTCTTGCTCTCTCAAGCCCTGGGCTACTATATAAAAAGTTCAGTTACCATGTTGGGAAGGGGTGTTTGTTACACAGGTGTGTGCACTTGTCAACATACAGTGAAATTTTTGAATTTCATTGTATATAAAGTTTACCTCAAAAAAAGAAATATTGAACTGTAATTAAAGATATGAATGCTGAATTATTTAGGGGACAGCATACCAATGTCTAATTTATTTTGAAATATATTAAAAATTAGATTAATGGATGAATAGAGTAATAGGTGGATGTGAATAAAGCAAACAGTAAAATGTTAATTATAACATCTAAGTGGTGGATATATTGTAGATTGTTCAATTGTGCTGTATGTTAGAAACTTCATAATAAAACATTGAAGAATATATGATTAGGATTATTTGATAACTATTTTGAAAAAGGAGGATGAAATAGATTTTTGTAAAGAAGTAGTTTTTGTATATCACAGACATGGTATATATTTGTTTTCAGCTTTTTTAAACAATCCACACATTTAAATTAAACCAACAAGAAGGAAATAGATGTTTAGATATAAAAAAATAAAAGATGTTTTTAGTAGAAGAACCTGATCTAGTTGGAGGGTGAGTAAAGCCTAGAAGGATTACTGAGAAGTCAGATTTAAGCTGTGACAGGTAGAAATTAACTAGTTGACAGAGGGCTATTTTAATTACTATTGCTGGGTAACAAATCACCCCCAAAACTTAGTGGCATAAAACAGTCATGCACCAGGGCTCACATGATGAATTGGGTCTATAGACTATAGTAACTACACGTGATTTCCATGTGGTTTGGGCTTCCTCAAAACACAACTACCTCAGCATACCCATGTTTCTCACAAGCCTCAACACATCTAGAGCTAGTCATTCCAGTAGACAAGGAGGAAGCTGCATTGCCTCAATACCTAACCTTGGAAGTCACATTATCTTTCTATTTTTTAAAATATATTTTATTGATTTTTCACAAAGAGGAAGAGAGAGAGATAGAGAGCTAGAAACATTGATGAGAGAGAATCATCAATCAGCTGCCTCTTGCACACCCCCTTCTGGGGATGTGCCTGCAACCAAGGTACATGCCCTTGACCAGAATCGAACCCGGGACCTTTCAGTCCACAGGCCGACGCTCTATCCACTGAGCCAAACTGTTCCTGGCTCTATTTTTTTTTTTTTTTTTTTTTAATCTTTACCCAAGGAGTGAGGATTTTCCCCCATTAATTTTAGAGAGTGAAGGGAGGGCGTAGATGGGGAGAGAGAAACATCCATGGACTAGGGGCATGGATGGGACCTGCAATTCAGGTATGTGCCCTTGACCAGGAATCTAACTGGTAACCTTCTGGTAAGTGGGCTGATGCTTAAACATTGCTGGCCAGAGTGGAAGTCACATTCTCTATTAGTTGAAGTTGTCATAAATCTTTCCAGATTCAAAGGGGAGGGGATATACTTTCTACCTTTTCATGAGAGAAGTGTCAAAGGATTTGCAACCACCACAGAGATTGAGTGGGAAAAGAGGACTACAGGTAGAGGGAACATCACACGGAAGGTATCTGCGATGGGAGGTCTGCAAATTTAATAAGTTGAAGTGAGTAACTGTAAATTGACCCCTCCTCCAGTACTCCCCCCCCATCCCTGCTTAATTTAAAAAATGTAGGGTTTTTTTTTTTTATTATTGATTTCAGAGAGGAAGAGAGAGAGAAAGAGATAGAAACATCAATAATGAGAGTGAATCATTGATCGATTGCCTCCTGTATGCCCCATACTGGGAATCACAACTCAGGCATGTGCCCTGGCCAGGAATTAAACCATGATCACTGAGCCACACTAGCTGGGCCCTAATTTATCACCTTCTAATATTTTATATTTTTAAATATTTGTTTTGTTCACTGTTTTCTCCCACTAGTTTTTTAGTTCCATTTTAGTTTTTTAGGGCAGGGTACATTTTCCTGTTTTGTTTACTGATGTGTCCACAAATTAAGTAAGTGGTGTTTTTTTAAAAATATATTTTATTGATCTTAAAAAATATATATATTTTATTGATTTTGTACAGAGAGGAAGGGAGAGAGATAGAGAGTTAGAAACATTGATGAGAGAGAGTCATCAATCAGCTGCCTCTTGCACACACCCCACTGGGGATATGCCCGCAACCAAGGTACATGCCCTTGACTGGAATCGAACCCGGGACCCTTAAGTCCCCAAGCCGACGCTCTATCCATTGAGCCAAACCGGTCTCGGCTATTGATTTTTTTTTACAGAGAGGGATAGAGAGTTAGCAACATCGATGAGAGAGAATCATCAATCAGCTGCCTCTTGCACACACCCCACTGGGGATGTGCCCACAACCAAGGTAAATGCCCTTGACCAGAATCGAACTCAGGACCTTTCAGTCGCAGGACAACACTCTATCCACTGAGCCAAACTGGTATTGGCAGTAGGAGTTTTTTTTTAATGAATGGGTACGTGGGTCAAGGGTGAGCCTTCTGAGGTGAAAGCCTTGTTGAAAGCATGAGCAATGAGAGTTTTCTTGGAAAGGGTATTGTTAGTGTTTTCTGAATCTGGCTCAGTCAGCAGCAGGAAAGATTGAGATTGGTTTTTTGGGAGGCATGGTCATGTTCTGGCATTTTGAGCTAAACTTATTCCTAGGAAAAAGGATTCAAGGCTGGAGGCTGACTTGTAATAAGCAGTAGAGAAAGCAAATAAAGTATCCAGTGGGTAGAGCCAAGACACAGAGTGCCTAGAATTATGTTCCAGGCAGAGCATTTGAGTCAGTGGAAATTGTCCATAGGCCAATGTGCTCAGTATTCTGACATTCAAGGTATGGCTTAGACAAAACCAGTTTGGCTCAGTGGATAGAGCGTCGGTCTGTGGACTGAAAGGTCCTGGGTTCGATTCCAGTCAAGGGCATGTACCTTGGTTGTGGGCACATCCCCAGTAGGGGGTGTGAAAGAAGCAGCTGATTGATGTTTCACTCTCATTGATGTTTCTAGCTTTCTATCCCTCTCCCTCTCTGTAAAAAATCAATAAAAAATATATTTAAAAAAACTATCTTCATGTAAATAAAATATTTTTTTTAAAAAAGACTGAAACTGAAAAGCTGCTTGGGGATGGACAAAAGCCCTGAGCCCACGGGAGAATCCCGGTAGGAGTGTCAGAGGAGTGGTACCTAAGAATAGACTAAGGGGAGGGCCATTGCTTGGTGTTAGAAAAAGCAAAGCTTAAAGAACCTGGGGGGCGGGGGGGCGGGTCTCAGGAGAAGAAAGGCTGCCGATGAAACGTCTGGGCGCGGCGCTGTCAAACTCTTGGGGCGGGACCGAAGAGACCCAGCCGGGAACGCGTTCAAGCCGAAGCCAATGGAAAGCCGCCGGGTGGGCGGGGCGTCCTAGGCCGAAGGCGGGGCCAATGAGGAGCGGCGCCGCGCCCTCTGTCCCCGCCCCCGGGGTGAGCGGCGGAGCGGCCGGAGGCGGAGACTACAGTTGCCCGCGCGCGGCTCGCGCCCTCCCCTTTGTGTCGCCATGGCGGCGGCTTCGGCGACGAGGACGACGATGGAGGGGTCTAGCGCGGCCAGCGCCTGAGGAGGCCTCGCGACCATGGTGGTGAGGGGCCTACGCGGTCGTCAGACCCTCCGCGTGGCAGTCTGTCCGTGCACGGCCCGGCCCCGCGCGCCCCGCCCCCGGCCCCGCCCGAGCCCGGGGCCTGCGCCTCCCCTCACCCCTCGTCCGGGTCCTCTGGTCCCGCAGCCTGGCCCGGTCCGAGCCCTCGCTCCGGCCCCGCCCTCTCAGCGCGCGTCTCCTTCCACCGCCCCGCGGGGTGTTCGTGGCCGAAGGCTTGGACTTGGAGGAGGAGGGGCAG